ACGAACTACTGATAAACTGATTGCTATATATACATACGAGAAGTCCATTACAAACTAGTTATAACTTGTTGTTACCTCTAAAAGAAGCAAATTAAGCTAATTGTACGCATCCAAGTAATATTTATACCATGCCTTTACCTAGCTTAAAGCAAACAAGAAAATATACAACCAATCAGAATACAGGAAAGCCGTTGTATACTAGCTAACAGTATAATAAAAAAATATCTGTAGCCAGGAGGCAACCTCACCCTCAAGAGGTTCTCAGACTGGTCCTGAGTAAGCTTGATAGTATACCTGATGGTAGTTCACCGAACCTTCCTCTCGTACGCTACGCGTTTGTTGCCTTGATTGTATTGTCCACTGTATTTTCTATGGTAAAGTAAAAAATAGCTATGCAACGCTGTCTCCAATATCCGAGGTCGAAAATTTAATAACATCAAATATGCCAAGAGTCGCACATACTCGCCTAAAGTGACTCGTGGGATATTTCATGGTATACCACGTGATAGCGTGGCTTAACCAGTGTATATCTGACAATAGCCTGTTTCACTGTCTTTTTTAACCCTCCCATTTTCGCCATTTTCCTTTGTTCGGTTTCCTCGCGTCACAAAGAAGATCCTAGTAGAGACTAGTGCGACCACAAGACCTCTTACGTTGAGTTGTCTCTAAACTAGTTTAACGTTGTACATATACTTGTAGGTGTTAGTATTTACTGTGTAGACTGTGAGTTCGGTTTTTTTTTTACGAGCTCCAAAAACCTACAAAGCGCAGACATTTTAAGAAGGTCAGGATTGGGTTTAGTTAAAAGCTTAGAATTGGTCAAAATTAAAACTCTCAGTTGAGAAATGATGCATTTAGTTAACTGATGGCTGAGATCTAAGACCTGCAAAATCTACTGATAGCTAAGAAATGGGCTAAAATTTTAACTGATAGCTGAGACATGACCGAGATTTGATATTCCTGTGCGCCCATAATCGAGACCTTCTTTTGAGAATTGCTCGTAGAAAACGAGGGTATAAGTACTTGTATTGTTTCAGTGGTCACTTTTCTTTTCTATCGGACAAGAACTAATTTTTATGTAATAGCGGAACAATGAAAGGAAGTTTCCTCTCTTTAAAGGTACTATGTAACGGTTTGCATGGAAAAAAATCTGAACTTTTTAGAGTTTGTCGTTTGCAGTCTGTGTTAATGTTCTCCATCCTTAACCATCCTTGATCTTGTATGGCTTATTATTATATCTCTGGTGTTTTTCTATCTTAGTAGATTGTTATTTTCAGGTTCTTCGATTTACATGTAATTTTGTACGTGGCCAATGTAACTCAAAATACCGTAACTAAGCTCCTTTAAAATTGATCCAAATTATGACAATACACGCGCAGGCGTCATTATAATCCAATAGTCAACAATGGCTTAGCCATTCAAATTCGGGGATTCGTAATAAGTATCTATTACTATTAGACGGTTATGCTGTGATCTTGAGATTTCTATGAGATGATAGTTGACGAGGCCAAAGGCCTAATCAACAATCACCTCCTAAACAGCTCGTAACTTGCTATCGCAATTAACGAGTTAAAACTGGATGGCAAATAATCCATCGAACTTTCCGGGAATTGAACTATCCAGTTATATTTCTAAATCTCCCTCTGACATTTTTCTATCAGTTTCATATACTATCAATCACCTCTTAGAGATCTCAAGCTCGTAATCTAATTGTTAAAAAGTGTGCGACAGCTCAGCCAATTAGTTGGCAACGTTTGCTTTTGTAGTATACTGGGAGACTAGTTGTTTGATGGCGTTCTCATTGTAGTTGCCGTCATGGTTTACTTCATCTATGATTTTATACACAAAACTAGAATTCTCTTCTCCCACACCATATTGACGTCTGTTGCCAAACTTCAAGCAGTTTTTACTCTTTCCGTGTCTGGTGTAATTCTCTCCTCCACCGTAACACTCTCCGTAATTGTGAATGGCGAAGTATTCGTATCCTTCGCGTTTGGCCACTCGTGCACATTGGTTCAGTACCTGATCCAATCGCATCGCGATCCGCTCGATGCCGCTGAGGTTGGCGAACTGGTTTGGCATTGCGCGATCATTCTTGGCGTCCATAAAACACCCCTTTGGTTCAAGCTTGGGCAGTCGTTCTGTAAGATGTAATTAGAGACGATTTGTAATAGATTTGCGAGTTACAGCGGGGGTTGGGGTGGGACTCCTATACGAAAAGGTCGGGGATGCTTGTTTTTCCAATCTGGGCCTAGCTCGAGATTTATTTGATCACAATCACCGCTGGTCAGGACAGGAACCCGCCCTAGTAGACCGGACTCGAGAGATCGGCGGAAATCAAGCCTAAAAGCGGAAATAAAAGCGTTTTTTATTATTATTTCTTCGAGTGCAATTAAAAGATACGTTGACAGCTAAACATAGTAGCGTATCGTCATGAACACCCTGAGTGAGGCCAGAATCCTTGATTTATGCCGCTAAGCGAGACGACGAGCATCCCCGACCTTTTCACATGGGAGTCCCCTCCTCCGGGTGCGGCAGGCAGGACTAAAGTAAGTAAGTAAGTAAGTAACTTTATTTAATGAGGGTAAAAACACTTTACAGTCATTGACTGATAAACTCGTGGCCCTCCCTTAAACAATTAAAATGTAAATCATAAAAATGGAACGAATAGGAACTACGTGGCCATGACCACGACGAGTGGAAGAACATTGCAGATGCCCTATAGGCCATAGAGGAACGAAGGGGATAGAAATACTGTATCATGACCTTTCATGACAAATCATGCATGATATCAAGTTATCACAAATTGCCATAAAATAACATTACTTGCCATAGCTTATAAAAGCATCTTGAACGCAATCAGGAGCCCATCACCTTGAAACTCCATCCACACTATAATGTAAGTTAAGTCAACCCTTTTCCGTATCATTCTATTTTTAGACCTGTACTTAGTGCAAGGGTCTCTTGGCTTCCCAC